ACTGAGCCCACAGCTACCGCCAGCACAGCCTCACCTGTGCTCGCTGAGGACAGAGTTATCCAGAACAATCTTCTCCAGCAGCTCAATCAGTTCGTTAGGCAGGTCAGCTGTCAGAAAGGCTTTGATGGTGACCGAGACCTCTTCAGGATCTTGTGTTTCTGACAATGCTGTTTGTACCACGTGGGTTTAAAAAGCATTTGAAAAAACTTGATTAAAGTCAATCCAAGACTGTATCTTTGAAGCTCAACAGAAAGGAAAGAGTCTTTGAAGAAAAGAAGGACTGCTCCAAGACAATCTGGAACAGGCAAAGAGAAGAGGGGAGATTTCTCAAGGTAGGAAGGGGAAGGGCATCTAAAACAGCTTCAGGGAATTCTCAGTTTGCTCTATTTTGAAAATTAGTTTTTCTCTCACATCGAATGGGCTATAGACTCTTACTTCTGTTTCAACGACCATACTGTCTAAATTTGCTTCAAAGTGAATAACACAGTGTACTACGTAGGCATTTGAAATGCATGTCTGCTGTTATCTTTGTTTTTTAAAGCCACTATCCATAGCAAATATGGCTCCATTTCTCCAATGAGGACGCTGCAGCAGCCCCAACAGCCTCTTGGGAGCAGAGTCCACCCCTGCTATGGCACGGTCCACTTCTGGTACACACGGCCAAGTACAACCAGAGCTGCAGAGCTGTGCTGTAAAGGAAGGACCAATAGCAGACTGGCAGTTTGGAAGACCAGCACTGCCCTCTTTGCACTCTGTGCCAGGGGCCTTCAGTGACTTCGGGGACCTATCATTTTTGCCAAGTTTCTGGTGTTCCTCAGAGGTGGGCATCAGCAGTGTATTAATGAGGGAGAACAGATGGCTGCAAGGAGGTCCTACGTAGCTGACATACCCCTTTGACCATGAACTTTCACTCTGCCATCTTGAGGGGCCTTCATGGAACCAGGGTCAAGGCCAGCCCACCCACCTTTTGGATGCGGATGGCCTCTGGGAACTCAATGGCACCGGAGGATGTGAAAGTTCCATGTGAGTTTACAACCATCACAACCAAACACAGAGGGGTTAGGGAGAAGGAGCTACCACAGTAGCTAAGTACCTGAGGGAGAGGGTGTTGTGACCTAGTACACCTGGTCCATCCAAAGAAAGAGATGAGTTTCCAACAGTGACATCTAATTGTTAGTCCTTGAAAACCTTAGAGCAGTTTAAGTAAACACACACAGGTTGTTTTAAGGGCAAAAATAAATTTCCACCATCTATTTGAGTCAACACAGGATACCCAACCTAAGGTCACCTTGGGACACTGCTTCCTCTCAGTAAACTTCTCTACTCCAGATGCTAAAAGCAGGCTGCCTCTGCCATCGTGCACTCCCAATTAGAGTGGCACTGCAGTTGTGTCCCACCAGGAGGTGGCCACAGATATTCAATCACAGCAGACATAATGCCTGGACTAGCAGCTCCATGCAGAGACAGGAAGACAAGAGGCACTGCTGGCTTTAGTTCAACGCAGTGTTAAAGCAGCCCTTCCCCAGTGCGAACTTGAGGCCACCTTCACCTACCAGGTGGCTGGACCACTCCCTGAGAAATGTCTAACGTCTGTGCACTTGGAGTGGATCCTCAGCGGAATCTAAACGAACTCTGTCCCTGGCCCTTTGTTATTCAATGTTTATACCAGATTTGGATGGGTAAATCCAAAGTTCATATAGCAGAGATTCAAGCCAACACGGCCTTCTGTAAATCTAAAAGCATTTCAAAATAAAAAGTTATTTTAAAAAATAATGTCCTAGCACTCTGGGAGGCTGAGGTGGGTGGATCGTTTGAGCTCAGGAGTTCGAGACCAGCCTAGCAAAAGCGAGACCCTGTCTCTACCAAAAATAGAAAGAAATTAATTGGACAGCTAAAAATATATAGAAAAAATTAGCCAGGCATGGTGGCACATGCCTGTAGTCCCAGCTACTTGGGAGGCTGAGGCAGTAGGATTGCTTGAGCCCAGGAGTTCGAGGTTGCTGTGAGCTAGGCTGACGCCACGGCACTCTAGCCAGGGCAACAGAGCCAGACTCTGTCTCAAAATAAATAAATAAATAAAATAATGGTAGAGGCTTGAGGAACGGCAGATAGAAAACTAGAAGATGAAATGCAGTAGAAATAAAGGTGAAATCCAGCCCTTGAGTGTAAAGTATCTGCCCAGCAGATTGGCAAATGTGTACAAGGGAGGCTGGAGCTTTAACTGATCATATACTCAGGACTGAAGCCACTTGTGGGACCAGGGATTTGTTCTGGCACTGGTCTTGGTCCACCCCTGAGAAGTATGCCCAGCAGTCTAGGGGACAGTGCCAAGGACAGTGGAGGCTGTGAGGAGAGGGCAGCGCGTCTTCCAGAGGTGCGGGAAGCCCGCCCAGGGGTGGAGGCAGACTTCCACCTGCCAGGCTGCACCGAGTGGTGACCCCAGCCCAGGACTATGCTCCGGCTCCGAGGAGGTGCCAGACAGTCACGTAGCACAAGGGGCTCCTTGACAAAGGGAAGTCAAGTTGAGACAACCTTGAGAGCCACTTAACTGCTGTCAATAGGGCTGATCTGGAAAAGCGATCAGGGACCCAGCAGGCAGGTGTGCCAGCAGGTGCTCTGACTGGGGCTGCAGATCCCTGCTGTGGACAGGGCCAAGCCTATGCCCTTAGTGAATAAACAACTCCAAGTCAGCTCACCCTCAGGGGCCAAGCTGTTTTTAGACAAGCTATTTCTGCAGGGAAGAAAGCTCTTAAGAGCAGTAAGATGTTTTAGATGTAACCATTCAACCAGTCACTTGAGCCATGAGAGGATTAGAGGGCGAATGCAGGCGCAGACCCACCCACCCCTGAGCCTCACCTGGTCAATCAGCTGTCTCCTGGATGGGTTGGTCTCCTCGAGGACATGAGCCCAGAGCTCCGGATCCTTCCTGTGCACCAGGTAATGGGCCTCGCTTTTGAACAGAGAATTCTCATTGCAAACCTGAAATCAGCGCACCTGCGTGTGTGACACAAGCAGCCAACTGATAAAAGCTACTTGGGAGGACATATCCCAGGTAGTTCCCTCTGTCCCTGACACTTGTTTGTTGGACAGCTGGTGCCCAGTGAGACACTGTGATTTGACACATGATGAACAGCATCCTACAGGGTTAACACTGCATTCCTCAGAGAGACAAACTATCTCAAAATGCCCCTTCCTAAATTTCTAACAACTCACAGGGATGTGCCTCAGCTCCAGCCAGTGGGACCATCTGCAACGATGGATGTGCTCTCTGTCTTGTGCTGCCTGATACGGCCACTTCTGGCCACAGAAGGCTACTGAGTGCTTAAAATGCTGGGTGCACCAAGGAACTAATTTAAATTTTAGTTAATTTAAATTTAAGTACTCACATGTAGCTAGCTTAAACCATCTCTAAAGTGTTAACAGAAGAGCCTAGAACTGGTATAAAACAGCACATACACTGCAACATTTCAAGGCCTAAAAACTTTAAAATATGCCTTCAGTGACTGATCTTCAGACCCTTTTCTGAATGTAGTAACAGATTTTCAAATGCCAGTTGTCCACTGGAATGTTCCAGTGTGTGAGCCACTTGCTAAGTCCTGGTGAGAATCTTATCTACTGAGTACCAGATGCCAGGCTCAAGGCTGAATGATGTGCACATGTCATGAATGCAGTGCAGGTGGCGAGACTGGCACCTTGCCCCCAAATCATACCACAGCACTCTTCTGGACGGAGGACACCTTAGTGAACAATTCCTTCGTATCTACACTCAGCCTAACTAAAAGGACACCTCACCCCAGCACAGACAAGTGCTAAGATCTCAGAGATCATTTAGCTGTGCTTTAATAAAAGGGTGGTATATAAAGCCAGAGAGTGGCTCGCTGGTATCAAATAAACTAAAGTCCCAGCTTTAGAAACACTAGTTGCCCCAGAGACTGCCAGTGGAGAGGCTATGTCTACTTAGCCTCACCACCTCCATGGTCAGTGTCCAAAAACTAGGGTGGCTGAGAAGCTGGGGCACTGTTTTCCATCTTCAACTCCACACGCTCGCGCCCTCACACACACCTTCCCCAGCAGGTACACCACATGCTCAGACAAGCCAAGGTGCTGGGGACAAGCAGACCAACTGCCTATGAAGAGCTTACAGCTGAACAAATATGCTCAACCACGAGATGCTGGATTTTTAGGTCAAATGGTTAAGTATTCATTATGGTTCATCCTAAAAATGTAATTACATACATGTAGATCCAAACCTGGCCAGATGCAGGCAGGAGACCTGGAAGAGTGCTTCAAGGAGAGGCCAGCAAGAGCTGGATCAGCCAGAAAGATGGGGGGACAGCTTGCGTAGCGGTATCAAGAAGGGGACAGGAGGCACCCAGGGACCTGCAGACCACTCCAGGCGGGGTGGCAGGAGGGGCGGCTGGGCAGGTGGGGGTGGGGGTGGCAGTCCACAGAGAAGCTCACGGGTCAGGCTAAGAAGTTTCATTTTGCTCACAAGTTACCAGGTAACACTGAGGACTATGAGCAGAGGAATGATGGGTCGGATCCGGGCCAACTAGGCCCACAGACATGACATACAAACTGTGGAACAGGTCCCCAAAAGGGGTCAGAATTATAAAGGAAATTGAGTCTGTGGAAATGCCCTCATGACCCACTGTCCCCAGGGGCAGAGAGCCCTGATCAGCCCCCACAGGCACAATTTGAAGCCCTGACCCACGAGGCCAGTGCAACATGGGCAGCCAACTGTATCTGCTGCCCACCTTGAAGAGCTCAAGGTCACACTGCCCCCGCTCATAGGCGACGAAGGCCAAATGTGGGTCCCGCTTCTCAAAGTACCGGCCCACAACGCTGCTGTCATAGCAGGCGTTCTCTCTCAGGAAGCGCTCAGGGCTGTTGTTGCTGTCAATGCAGATTTTTGCGAGTGCATTGTGAGTGGCAGGCTCTTCGCAGCCCTCCTGAACGTGGCACTCCAGCCAGGGAAGCAGCAAATTGAGCCTTTGAAAGAAGGAAGGTACCATAAGTCTCCAGGCTACCACTGGAAATCTCCAGGGCAACCCCTGGGCTCTGAGGGTTGCTTCTTGAAACAAAATTTCTCCATTAACTTCAGGTTGCTCTAGAGATCAGGATAGACCTGGTTTCCAAATTGATTTCAATTGTTAAGTTTTTCCCCAAGGACTTCAGTACCAATAGCAAATAACTCATTATTAGATCTAAGATGTACATGAATGACCAGCCACAGAGACAGTCCTGCAGCCTGGAGGCCAACCATGAAAGCATCTTGGAGAATTAGTCAGAGACTTAACAACAGACACTGGAATTCAGGGGCAAGAAGAGATACCCAGTAAGGATACCATACCTATTTCTTTTTTCTACTTCGGCCACCAGCTCATCAGTAGAGAACTGTCCTCTCACTGCCATGATCAAGTTTTTAATCACTTCCTCAGAACAATCCACGTCAAGCAGCCCTCCAACCACAGCTGGGGTCCGGCTAGGGTTGACCTGGAGTAGTCAAGGTGGCGACTTCAGTGCTGCACATATAAGCCATTACTAGAAGCCCCCCAGGATTTGAACAGTGTGGGTAAAACCCTGAAAGGGCTCCTGTTTAGGACTGAACTGTGTCCTACCAAAATTCCTGTTGAAGCCCTAACTCCCAATGGGACTCTGTTTGGAGAGAGGGCATTTAAGGAGGTAGTTAATGTTGAGCAAGGGGCCCTAATCCAATAGGACTGGCATCCTCGTAAGAAGAGGAAGAGACACCCAGAGTGCATATGCACAGAGGAAAAGCCACGTGGGAACACAGTGGGGAGGCCGTCTGCAATCCTGGAAGAAAGCCCTCACCAGGAACCAACCCTGCTAGCACCCTGATCTTGGACTTCCAGCTTCCAGAAGTGTGAGAAATAAATTTCTATTAATTAAGCCACCAGTCTGTGGTATTCTATTCTGCAGCCTAAGCAGACTGATACACCACCCTTCAGACCGACAGTCTACAGATGTCCTGGCGTCAGAGGCAGCTCATCAGGTGCAGACTATCACCACTGACTACATCACCCAGGAGCCAGCAGTACCTTCTGCACGTAAATCTCGATGTACTTCTGCAGACTGTTGCGGTACAAATACAAGATGAGGTCGTGGACAAAATCAAACCGATCACACACGATGATGAGGGGAAGCTGGTCTGTGAGCTTGGCCTCCTGAGGTTCAGAATGCACAGAACAAGTCAGGAGTGGAGATGCCAGAGCCAGACCCCAGGGCTCACAACCCAGCACAGGATGGAGCTGCCTCTGCAGCAAAGAGAACCACAGAGACTCAGAGTGAGACTTTGTTCTAGATATTCTGTCATTTTGGGATGTCGTGTTTGCTTTGGGAAACAAGTGGGGGAAAGGTAATATTATTTGGTTAAAGACTGTTACATTTGGCAATAACATCCTAAATCTAGGTATCTTTTGGGATAAGACAAGCAGCTCATTATTTGTAAACCCAACACAGGCCAGGCAGCTCTCCGGAACAGCACACCTGTGGTAAAGGTGGCCTTTTCAGACAAGCAGCCACAGACCACGGAAACACATTGTGCACTGTTTTCGACAGTGACAGCACTTGGGCAGGACTGCCACGGGCCACAACAATCACACCTCCCCTTATTTGGACCCAGCCCTAGTTTACATTTCCCAGATTCCCTTGAAGTTTTAGGTGTGACCACGTGACCTCATTTCCTCCAAGGGAATGTCAATCGCAATGTCATCTGCCACTTGCAGGCCTCACCCGTAACAACCACGCATGCAGGTTCCTCTGCGTTCCTCCCTCTTCCCACTGGCTGGGAAGGCAACATTCTGGGATGTGTTAAAGATAGCGAAGCAGCCATCAGCCTGGTCCTTGGAGGATGGCAGGAAAGAAAGCCACCCCACTTACGTCCATGGCCACCTAGCACTGTCACATGAGAAAGAGGCAGGCTTCCGGTCCTTCACGCCACTAGCACTGAGTGGCCCATGTGTTTCTGCAGCCTCGCCCCACCTCACCGACAGGGGCACAGTCCAGATGTTGCCAATCACAGTGCAGCGATAACCTAACTCCTTCCACTCACACGCCAGATAGTTAAGAGCACAGGCTCAAGCTTCTTTCCACAAAGGGGTCTCACAATGATAGATAGGTTCCTCTAAGAACTTTAAACCATAAAGTGGAGACCTGCTGCTGGGGACTAAGGGTGCCCTGGCGAGACAGATGCAGCGTTCTGCCTTAGGAAGTCATGCTGAGGGTCTGCCCACCTGTGTGGGTGTGCCCATCAGTGAGGGCAGCTCACGGGAGGAGGAGGAGCTGGACGCACCTTCAGGAAGTTCTTCACATGCTCCGGGTCGTAGCAGCTGCTCTCTCGACATATCCGTTCCACCTCCTTGATCTGCCCCGTCTTAAAAGTGGCCTGGATGTATTTCAAATGCACGTCTGGATCTTGGCTGAAGTTGACGATTGAGCCCAGGAAGTAGAAGAGGCCTGTGAGGAGAGACTGTTCCATTTCTGTCCTCATAACACCCACCTGCCTTCTCCATAGCTGCTGCAGCCTTCCTGTGGTGACCCAGCCACGACAACCCTGCTCCGTTCTCCAGGTACCCACAGCCCACTCAGAACTCATGATCTACATGAAGTTTGTCTGCTTTGACATCTCCCGAAAATAGCTAGTCAGATTTCTACCATTTTGGGAGGTATACCTGGGATGTTTTGATGTAAACTATTGGTTATTTGGTGTATGTGGAATTCCTTCTGGGGCCCAGGTACACCTCAGATGTATCTTTAAGAGCAATTCCCACTGAGGTAACCTGAGAGGGACATGGGACAGCTGCTCTCAAAAGACATGTCAGGGACAGAGAAAATAAACAATGGCTGCAACAGGAGCCTCCGCACAAGGAGGCTGCGACCTGACCTGGAACTGACGGTGACGTGGCCACCACATCTGAGCCCTGAGGCGAGTCACAGAGGACATCGTTCAACAGAGGCTAATGACGTTGCTCATCATTACAGGGGCCAGCCTGGAGATACCAGTGATGACAACAGCATAGGACACGGAAGGCCACGCTCCCTGATGAGGCCTTTAACTGTAACTGTGAGACTCTGCCAACAGGAAGGGAATGGGCAGCCCCGAAGCTGACGGCTCCCAACGACCCTACTCTGCTGCCACTCCCTTCCCTGCTGTACCCAGCCTTCTGCTTGGGCCTTTGCTGCAGTGGTGTCCCCGGAAGAGAAGGCCAGCTCCCTGGACACCACACAGTGGCTGGATGCCCCACTGGACATGTGCTCAACCTCTGTCCTGGGCAGGCCAGACAGCCCCTTACTTGTCCCCAAAAGAGCCACCTCCACCCCCACTGTGGCACACTATTTTGGTGTGATACCCACGGAAAGGCAAAGAAAGGCAACCAGGTCAGCCTCATCAGCCCCAGTAATCAACTGGGTAAGAGACACCACAAAGCAATGGACTCTCCATGGTGGGCTCTCACTTAGGAGAAGACAAAGGAGCTGCCTTCTTAGGGCTGCGCAGACCAGACACCAGGCCTTGTCACTGGTACCCGGGACCTTCAGCACAGGACTTGAGATGGATTCTGGCCAGACTGTGCTGCACAGACACACAGGGTTCCACGGTCTTCAGGGATACAAAGGAGATTCTAGTATCCCCAGTCCAATGCCAACCCACCTGATTTCTTCTTTTGGAAGCGCCAAAAAGGTTACTGAAGCTGAGTAATACACATGAGATAGCAGTAATATTCTGCTATCTACTGAGCACCTAAGGCAGCGAGTGCTGCATCCTGCCTGGCTTTGCGGGAAGACTGTTTTAAGCTACGCAAGCAGACTACAACCCCTCAGAAAGGAGGTGCAGTCGCATGGTGAGGTCGGCCAGAGGCAGCAGGGTTTACCTTTGTAACTCCTAAAGGATTCAAAGAGCTGCACCAGGGACTGCGTGCCCAGCTGCTCGTGGTACTTAGAGGCCACCTGCACACACAGCTGCAGGTTCTGTCTGATGTTAGCAGACAGCATGGCACGCAGACACTCCACAGAATCCTCCACCAACAAGGAGCCAAAGAAATTGACAAGCCACTGGGAATAAAATAGAGTCCGTCCACAGCTGTGCACCACCTTAAATATTGACAACACTTGGAAAATAACTGGATTGTCCCCCCATTCCCCCAAGGGTCAAAAATAAAAAGAATTTCCACTTAAAAGGACTGAAAAGCAACTATCCATCATGGGAAAAAGGAGGAGCAAGGAGTAAACTTGGGATGAGACGCTGACCTAAACTGTCCATCCCAGAACACTCCCCAGTTGGTACCAAACTATTCTGCAAACTGGAACACCACCACTACTTTCAGCTTTTGCTAATGGTTTCAGACAGCCCTGCTAGGCTATCAGTGTTAAAAGGTTATCTCTATTCTGCCATTGGATCAAGTCAAAGGCAGACACTGGAAAGAAAGGTGACATGGGCCCCAGACACACCGTGGGCAGGCAAACGTGTGTGGCTGCCCCAGAACTGCTTTGCCGTGAAGTAGGCAGCTCAGGGCAGTGACAGGCTCACGCCTCGGTCTCACAGTAACCACAGGCAGACACGCAGGAGCATGTGGCACTAACCACTGCACAGACACCAGCCACAATGGGAGTGCCCTGGTGGCGCAGGTACCTCGGGATTGAGGAGGTGTGTGTGCACAAGGGTCCTCTTGATGTCATAGAGGTCAGTGTAGTGCTCCAGCGCCCACTGCAGTAGGCCTGCCTTCTCACACAGCTGGGCGACGTGGGCCCGATTGTAGTGAGTGAACATCTGATTTCCCAGCATGGCATCTGCAACCTATGAAAGCGTGATCAGTAAGAAAGCCTGATCGCTGGCAATAACTTTTTTTTTTTTGAGACAGAGTCTCACTCTCTTGCCCGGGCTAGAGTGCTGTGGCGTCAGCCTAGCTTACAGCAACTTCAAACTCCTGGGCTCAAGGGATCCTCCTGCCTCAGCCTCCCGAGTAGCTGGGACTATAGGCATGTGCCACCATGCCCAGCTAATTTTTTTCCTATTTTTAGTAGAAATGGGGTCTGGCTCTTGCTCAGGCTGGTCTCGAACTCCTGGGCTCAAGCAATCCTCCTGCCCCAGCCTCCCGAGTAGCTGGAACTATAGACATGCACCACCATGCCCACATAATTTTTTCTATTTTTAGTTGTTCGGCCAATTTCTTTCTATTTTTAGTAGAGACAGGGTCTCGCTGTTGCTCAGGCTGGTCTCGAACTCTTAAGCTCAAGCAATCATCCCTCCTCGGCCTCCCAGAGTGCTAGGATTACAGGTGTGAGCCCCTGCACTTGGCTGGTGGCAATAACTTTTTAAGAGCAGCTGCTCAACTGTGCCCCCAGGGTAGGGTAGAGCTGGGGAACCAGCGCCCATATCCAGGCGGTGCGAGCAGAGCCCTGCTGCCCTTCAAGTCATCTGAGGTCCTTTGCACAGGCTCCACCCTGCCCCACTGCAGAGCCAGGCCTGGCCCGCGTGGCCATGGAGTCGGGCAGGTGAGAAAGACCGAGGCCCCACAAACCCTTATAACTGGGATAAGTCCGGTCACTGTTGAGGCTTTTCAGTAATCCCATTCTTCTAGGGTTTCTGTGGCAAGATCAATGTGAGGGTTCACGTCTACCAGACTCTCTTCGATGAGCTCAGCCCTCAGACTAGTAATAGTCAGAATTAGACCTGAAAGTAACATATCCTATTTGTGTTCACAAGACTTCTCTACTAGGTTAAAGGCAGAACTAGGAGTTAGGGTTGCATTTAAAAATCAATAAACATTCCTGGAAAGAATTTTGATGAGGCTTAACATTATCTTTAAAAAAGTAATTTCTGGGCTAAGAATGCAACTCTGCCACCTGGCTGAGTGATCTCACCCTCAATATTTACACCAGTCGCTGGTCTTGACGCACTCCCGGGACCTCCCCTGCTGCCTAGTGCATACTTTCCCGTTCCTTCTAGGATGTGCAGCACTAACTATACGCAGTGCTGGGGGGTGTGGGGTGCAGTGTGTGGGGGTCCTAGCTGCAGTGTGCTGGTGGGGCACCCCTCCTCCCACAGGAGGGCCATGCTCCCAGCTTAGGCCAGGATCCTGGGCAGGGAACCTCCTGGCCAGCGTCACAGTCATGGGGGAGCTCAGCTGGCCTGACATCCTGCCGCCTGGCAGAGGCCTGGGAGAAACTGTGGAATAGGGGAGGGTGGAAAGGAGCGAGGCCTGCTCCAGGCTGCCAAACTGCGGATCTCAGACAGACCCACCCCCACATGCAGACTTTCTGGCTGAGTGGGGCCATTTCAGCCCCTCCCTGGCAGCTCTGCCCAGAAGCAGAGAACAGACCTTTGACCCCTGCTAACATGATTTCTGGAGCTTGAGCGCAGGCTCACCCAACCCAGCCTCACCTAGCCTCACTCCCCAGCTCCACCACACTCCACCACTGAGATGGAGAATAAGGACACACCTGGAAGACCCAGGGCCCCACCCACCACGTGAAGCACTAGAGTACCTCTCCACAGGAACAAGAGCTGGTTACAGGACCAAAAACAACACTGCAGCTCGCTCCTCCCAGCAAGTGCCACCTACTGACAGGGAAGTCAATCTGTAGTCCTTTTACTCCATTTACTGACTCATCACACAGGGTGTGGTTGAATCTCACCCACAAGGGCCACCTACTACAGGCTCAGAGAGTAAACTGGGTGTGTCATTATCTCAACAAAAGAAAATCCAAAGGTAAGAAGCAACAGCTGCTCCAGATGAGAAGAAGTCAGTGAAAGAACTCCGGAAGTATAAAGAATCAAACTGAAAGGACATCCCCACAAGGGAACACCAGATCTCTAGCAATGGATATCAACCAAAATCAAAACACTGAAATGACAGATGAAGAATTTCGAACATGGATTGTAAGAAAACTCAATGAAAGGCAAGATAAAATGGATAGCCAACACAAAGATCACAAAAAGAATGCAGGAAATGAATGAAAAATTAACTAAAGAAATTGAAATATTAAAGAAAAATCGAACACAACTTCTGGAAATGAAAAATTCACTCAAGGAATTACAAAATATAGTGGAAAGCCTTAAGAACAGGTTAGATCAGGCAGAAGAAAGAATCTCAGAGACTGAAGACAACACCTTTCGATTAAACAAGTCAAGTCGCAGAGACAGAGCAGAGAAATAAGAGTAACAATCCCATATTTCCCTATAAGAAATATGGGATTATGTGAAGAGGCCTAACATAACAATCATAGGCATCCCTGAGGGTGAAGAAGAAAATACACAAGGATTGAGGGAATAATGGAGAAAATTTCCCTGGTCTTGCTAGAAATCTAGCTATCCAGGTATAAGAAGCTCAAAGGACTCCTGGGAGATTCATTCAAAAGAGGAAGACACCATGACACGTAGTCATCAGACTGAACAAAATAAACACAAAAAAGGCCCTCCTACAAGCCATAAAGCGAAAGTAGCAGGTAACCTACAAAGGAAAACCCATCACATTAACTGCAGACTTCTCAACTGAGACCCTACAAGCTAGATGGCACTGGGGCCCCATTCTCAAGTCTTCTCAAACAGAATAATGACCAGCCTAGAAGTCTGAATCCGGCAAAACAAAGTTTCTTATGTGAAGGAGAAATAAAGACCTTCTCAGACAAACAAACACTGAGGGAATTCGTCAAGATAAGACCTGCCCTCCAGGAAGTACTCAGAGCATAGTTACACACAGATCAGCCCAATACACACTCACCAGTGTAAAATCATCCAAAAGCTAAAGGTCAAAGACCACAATGGCTCAAGAGAGAAAACAAAGTAACAAAGTTCTACTCAACAGGATGAACAGAAATCCACCCCACTTTAAAGAATTTCAATAAATGTGAATGGCTTGAACTGCCCACCGAAGAGACATAGGCTGGCTGAATGGATAAATATACACAAGCCAAGTATCTGCTGTCTCCAGGAAACACATCTAACCCACAAGGATTCATTCAGACTCAAGGCGAAGGAATGGAAAACAATATTCCACGCAAATGGAAACCAAAAGAAAGCTGGTGTAGCAGTTCTCATTTCAATAACTTAGTCTTCAAATCAGCAAAAGTAATGAAAGACAAAGATGGTCATTATATAATCGTAAAGGGAACAATTAAACAAGAAGACATGACAATTCTAAATATTTATGTACCTGACTCAGGTGCACCCAGATTCATAAAACAAATCCTACTTGATCTTAACAAAATGATAAACAGCAGCACTGTAATTGCCATGGACTTCAACACCCCTCTGACAGAACCGGACAGATCCTCCAAACAGAAAATAAACAAAGAAACAACAGACTTAAACAGAACTCTAGAACAAAATGGTTTGACAGATATTTACAGAACATTCTACCCCAAAACTACTGAATATATGTTTTTCTCATCAACTCATGGGATATTCTCTAAGATTGACCACATCCTAGGCCACAAAACATGTCTCAACAAATTTAAAAATATAGAAGTTATACCATGTATCTTCTCAGACCACAGTGGAATAAAATTAGAAATCGACTCCAACAGAAACACTCATTTCTATACAAAGTCATGGAAAATAAACAATCTACTGATGAATGACACGTCAATGAGGAAATTAGGATGGAAATCAAAAGATTCTTTGAAGTAAATGATAAAGGGGACACAAGTTATCAAAATCTGTGGGACACAGCTAAAGCAGTCCTGAGGGGACAATTTACAGCCATAAATGCCTACATGCAAAAGACAGAAAGGTTACAAATCAACAATCTAATGAATCATCTCAAAGAACTGGAAAAGGATGAGCAAACCCATCCCAAACCCAGCAGAAGAAAAGAAATAATCAATCAAAATCAGAGCAGAACTAAATGAAATCAGTAACAAAAAAACTATATGGAACATTAATAAAACAAAAAGTTGGTTCTCTGAGAAGATAAACAAAATTGATATGCCTCTTGCTCGATTAACAAGAAGCAGAAAAGAAAGGATGCTAATAAGCTCAATCAGGAATGAAAAGGGGAAATTACAACTTATACCATGGAAATATAAAACATCATCTATGAATACTATAAAAATCTCTACACACATAAACTTTAAAACGTGGAGGAAATGGAAAAATTCTTAGAAGCACACAGTCTCCCTAGGCTTAATCAGGAAGAAACAGAATTCCTGAACAGACCAATATCAAGTACTGAAATTGAAGCAGTAATAAAAAAAATCTTCCCCCCCCAAAAAAAGGCCTGTACCAGATGATTTCACACCCAAATTTTACCAGCCCTACAAAGAGGAACTGGTGCCTATCTTGCAGAAATTATTACACAACATCGAGAAGGAAGGAATCCTCCCCAAAACGTTTCATGACACCGATATCACCCTGATACCAAAGCCAGGAAAGGACTCAATAAAAAAAGAAAACTACAGACCAATATCCCTTATGAATATAGATGCAAAAATTCTCAATAAAATCCTAGCAAACCGAATTCAGGTGCTTATCAAAAAAATAATCCATCACGACCAAGTGGGCTTCATCCCACAGATGCAGGGATGGTTCAACATACGCAAATCTATAAATGCAATTCACCACAAAAATAGATGCAAAAAAACAAAGACCATATGATCCTCTCAAAGATGCAGAAAAAGCATCTGACAAAATTCAGCACCCTTTCATGATAAGAATGCTTAACAAAATAGGCATAGATGGAACTTACCTCAAAATGATAAAAGCCATATATGACAAACCCTCAGCCAACATCATACTGAATGGGGAAAAATTGAAAGCATTCCTGCTTAGAACTGCAACCAGACAACGTTGCCCTCTATCACCACTTCTGTTTAACATAGGGCTGGAAGTCCTAGCCAGAGCAATCAGACAAGAGAAGGAGATTAAGGTGATCCAAATTGGGGAAGAAGAGGTCAAACTATTGCTCTTTGCTGATGATATGATCTTATAACTAGAAAACCCCAAAGATTCTGCCACGAGACTACTGGAATTGATAAACAAATTCTGCAAAGTCTCAGGTTGCAAAATCAATGTACATAAACCGGTGGCATTCATATATGCCAACAACAGAGAATCAAATCAAAGAATCAATACCTTTCACAGTAGCAACAAAGAAAATAAAATACCTAGGAATATATTTAACTAAGGAGGTAAAAGACTTCTACAGGGAGAACTACGAAACACTCAGGAAGGAAATAGCAGAGGATGTAAACAGATGGAAAACCATACCATGCTCATGGACCAGTGTGTTAAAATGTCTATACTACCCAAAGTGATCTACAGATTCAATGCAATCCCTATTAAAATACTAACAACATTTTTCACATATCTAGAAAAAATAATTCTATGCTTCATATGGAACCAGAGAAGACCTTGTATAGCAAAAGCAACCTAGAGCAAAAAGAACAAATTTGGAGGCATCAATTTACCATACTTAAAGCTATACTACAAGGCTATAGTAACCAAAACAGCATGGTACTGGCACAAGAACAGAAACATAGACCAATGAAACAGAACTGAGAACTCAGATATAAAACCATCTTCATATTGCCATTTGATCTTTGACAAAGCAAACAAAAACATACACTGGGGAAAAGAATTCTTATTCAATAAATGGTGCTGGGAAAATTGGATAGCCCCATGTAGAAGAATGAAACAGAATCCACACCTCTCACCTCTCACAAAAATCAGCTCACGATGGATAACAAACTTAAACCTAAGGAGTGAAACTATTAAAATTCTAGAGGAAAATGTTGGAAATGCTCTTCTAGACATTGGCCTAGGCAAAGAATTTATGAAGAAGACCCCAAAGGCAATCACAGCAACAACCAAAATAAATAAACGGGACATGATCAAATTAAAAAGTTTCTTCACAGCCAAGAATACTATCATTAGAGTGAATAGACAACCTACAGGATGGGAGAAACTATTCATGTGCTACACATCCAATAAAGGGCTGATAACTAGACCTATATAGAATTCAGGAAAATCAACAAGAAAAAATCAAACAACCCCATTAAAAGTGGGCAAAGGACAGGAACAGAAACTTCTCAAAAGAAGACAGACTAATGGACAAGAAACATATGAAAAAATGCTCAACATCTCTAATCAT